TTCCTGGAAAAAAAGTCAAATCTATACTTAACATAAGACTCAGATTATTTAACATGAAACTTAGTTTAGTTAACATAACACTATGTTCAGTTAATACGTATTTGATTAAACGTAACATGAACATTAGTTTAGGTAACATGAATATCGGTTTAGTTAACTTAGTTTAATTGATAAGTATTGAAATAATCTTAACATATACTTTGTTACATTTACCAATACTAACTCAGTTTAGTCAGCATGAAAGTTTAATTAACATGTTAACTAAATTGATGTTCATGTTAAGTTTAATAACACTCTGCTCAAGTAGATCTTTTCTTAGTCAACATGAAACTCAGTTTAATTAACTTGAAACTCAGGTTAATTCTCATGTATTGAATTAAACTTAACATGAATCTCAGTTTAGTTAACACGAAAATCTGTTTAGTTATTATGAACTCATTTCAGTTAACATGAAACACAATTTAATTAATATGAAACTCGGGTTAATTCTCATGTATTATTAAACTTAACATGAACATTAGTTTAGTTAACACGAAGATCAATTTAGTTATTCTGAAGCACAGTTTAGTTAACATGAAACTCGGTTTAAATAAAATAAACTCAGGTTAATTCTCATGTATTGGATTAAACTTAACATGAACCTCGGTTTGCATAACATGAAAATTAGTTTAGTTATTGTGAAACTCAGATTATGTACTATATATTTGATTAAACTCGGGTTAATTTTTTTAATTAAAAAAATTAACATTTACTTCTTTCTATGGTTGGAACCATTCTTTGTTGAACTTCTTTTATTGTCTCTTCCTCATAGTTCACCCCTTTGCATGACCAAAAGAGCTTTCGATGCTTCCTCTATGCTTCCACTCCCAAATGATTGACAAGATTCACTGTCGCTAGAAGAGGAGGCACCACCATCATCGCTTGAGGGAGCCGTGTGTTCATCATCATCTTCACCACTTCGCTCACGAAGTGTGACCGACGACGAAGATTTAGCTTCATTTGTTTGTTTAGACCGTCTTTCACAACCGCCGACAACTTGCCCCTGCCATCCACCGCGATGAATGACTTCGAAATAGTGATCAGATACTTCCCTAGACGACATTTTCATGGTGCAAACCCTAAACCTAAGTTAAAATTCAAGATGGAAGAAATGGAATTTGGGTTTTCTCAGTTTTTGTTAATA